ATCGGCCGGGCTCCATCGATGATAAAAATGAGCGAGATCAATCCTAGGCTTTTCAATAATAATAACGTCGTGAAACCGGAACTCAGAAACAAAATGCAACAACAAAAAATTATCACTGAACAACCCGAGGCCTAGAATCCAGCGAAGATGTCTTCGCTGAACATCGTGACATGCTTCATGAGCGCACACAAGTCGAAGACCGCCACCAAGACAGTGAAGAGGGAGCACCACATGCATGTCCAGAAGTAAAATGGCATGAACTCCACGTCCACGGCGATTGCCAGATCATAGACGACAAGCGTGTAGGCCAAGAACGGACCGGTAGCTCCCAAAATCGAAAGGGGTTGACCGGAAAATGTCGAGAAGATCAGACCGCTGATACATGTGCTCATGATCATTTCCATCACTCCGAACTGGCCGTTCGTGCCGTCAAGGAACCGACTGCCGAACGTAATCGCAGGGGCAAGGGCTGCGATGAACCTTGTTGCTATAATTACACCACGGGAAAGGAAAAGTTTACGCTTCAGAATAACAGCACATTACAAAAATCATCAAAAATCTAAAAGCTTAACATCTGGATATTGCAGGACTGAAGAACAGATACAAGATGGACGATACCGATTTCTGGAAGTTCTCCGGCATGAAGGCATCCGTCCAATCGCTGCAGTACAACGGCGCCCGCCTCCGGATGTCGAGTCGCAGGCCCCCTGCCAGCTTTCCAGTAAAGTCCAAAGGACCGTAATCCTTCTTGGGGGCATGTGCGATGTTTCCGGACTCGTGGTAGACGGCCTCGGCCTCCGCCATGATGAAGCGATCAGGGATGTTTGTAGGAAGCGCTAGCAAAGACTTGTGCCGAAAGACCTCGACCCGAACCGGCCCCGCCGTTGTTGGCTTGTTCCTGCAATTACGACTTCAACACGCAGCACTGCATACGTCGACGAAAATAAAGTGATGGCCTGGTACTGTATGGGCAAAAAAGTTTCCCTCTAAGCCCCAACCCTAACCTTAGCCCTAACCGTAGTCTTACATGCACGCAGGTCCGTTCCACCGCACAACCCTCCTGACTGGGCAGGACTGCCACGTCGTTAATTGTAAAGGTTACTTGCCACCGTTCTAAGCGGTACTTGTCGGTACTAACGCTTTCTCCCTCTCCCTCTCCGTCTCCCTCTCCCTCTCCCTCCCCCTCCCTCCCGCCCCCTCGAGTACCCATGCTCGGGGTGGACATGGCACCAGTCCAGAGTACCTTGTAAGGCTTTGCGCCGCGCAGAAAGGAAAGATTTGACGCACCATGAGAACACTTGTGTTTGAGGGCTTTGGAAGCATTGTGGAGTCATTGTGGAGGACAGCTCCGCGGCTCCGCATCGGCACTGCCAGATTTTCACAAGGCCAACGCAATCCTCACGCCCCTTCCGTCTAACAACCCGCAACCCTAGGCCACGTCAGGCAGTCGAAGCCTCGCGCGGTGAGGTCACGAAGGGGACCCTTAGCGACACCAGCGTTGGGTGCTTGAGCGAGACGTCGCTTGCGGTAAGCACCCTGGCCCGGCGTCCCTTTACGCGAAAGGGACAACCATTGCTTCCATGGAATGTCTTTGTACTTGGCCTCCCCATGCTCACAGCGGGCAGCGTGCCAAACTTCCAGGCAGAAGTCAGCCTTACACAATCCTAAATGATATGACGGGCATTTCCCTTGAAACTCCTCATCCTCGGTCACAGGCTTGAGGGGCGGTCTGTGCGGCTTAAGGCGTCCGACCTGCACGTTGTCATGGCACAGCGAAGCATACCGAAGCTTGGGAATGGCACGATAGTCAGCAGTGGCAACAGACGGGCAGCCAGGACAGGGCCAAAAGTACTTTCCCCTTTCAAAGCCAATCCAGCTTTAACAACCGGATTGTCAGAGGCAGCGTCATCCTTAGGGTCTTCGCGACAAGGAGAGTCTTCTATAGCAGCAACAGCAGACGACGGACGAGGCCGACGAGCTGACGAAAGGCCAGCACCAGGCAACTCAGAGAGATTCATCCAGCCGGGGCGCTTCCGGCAAATGCGGAAACAAAATGCCGGGGTAGCGCGAGCAGTAGCAATCACAGCATCAGAGCCAGCTGGTACATCAGGGCACACGACTTGTGTAGGCTCAGGCGCCTTCGTTTTGCTACGCACCTGCCGAAGCGGAACGCAATCTTTCGGTTGCGACGGCATTCACACATCAGCAGGCGATGGCCACAGGGAGGCACATGCCGCATGTGAAGCCTCGACTGGGGGATTAACTCCACCCACATCGGACACAAAGTCCGCAAGACAAAGTGATTCGGGACCTAAACCCAAATCGGGGCGGCTCCGCACGGGCTCAGCCGCAGCACCAGCAGTGACAACGGGGGTGCCGCACTTGCCATCTGCATCCAAAGCAAAGTCCTCAAGACAAAGGGAAGTAGATCCGGAACCTAAACCCAAGCAAGGGCCTCGCACGGGTCCGGCCGAGGTGCGAGGGGTGCTTAAGGGGTAGGCGCTATGTCCCTCAGCATCAGACGCAAAGTCAACAAGGGAAAGGGGCCTCGAACCGGAGTCTAAACCCAAGCTGGGGCCTCGCACGGGTCCTGCCGATGTGCGAAGGGTGCTTAAGTACAGCGACACAGTTGCTTTCGGCACAATCAGCAACGCTATGCCCACCAGCATCTGACGCAAAGTCCGCAAGGCAAAGGGCATCAGAATTGGAAACTAAACCCAAAGTGGGGCCTCGCACAGGTCCGGCAGAAGCGCGAAGGGTGCTAAGGGCCGCAGCGTTACTTACAGTAGCTGGTCTGGTGCTGTTACCAGCAACAGATGCAAAGTCAACTACCTGCAGCGATGGGGCATTGGATCCCGTCCTCAGTTTGCCACCTCCTGACAGTCGCATGCCTTGGTGTACAGTAGCATAGAAATCAAGTTGATCATGCACATCACCGTCAAGGAGCTCATAGTGATGGATTGTCTTGTCATAATACAAGCATATGGGGGAGTGAGTCCCTGCATGCTCAAAGTTTTTGACCTGACCATCACTGCACAACACCAGCAGATCAGGTTTTAAGGCGTGAGCAAGCGCCGAAAGTTTTCAAGGTAACATGCCCATGTTCCGGTAGTTTGGATACCCTTAATGTACTCACTAGAATCACCCTTCCACTCTGCAGAATCAGTAGAGTCGACGGCACCAGGCTTCAATCCGTCCCACAAAGCGGCGTACTCTTCACTATGTTGTTCGTAAAGCGCAACAAGGAAGGCGCGGACTGAACGTGCAGAAGCCTTTATTTCAGGGGCGACTTTAGACAACCCATGACCAACTGCATCAAAAAGGCAGTCCCCCTTGCCCTGGTAGCGACCCTCTTAGCCCCTTCAGGAAACCAAGACAACGAGGTCCGGCACCGCCGACTTGGAGGCGACTTGGAGGCGGCTTCACGGTGCCTGAGGTCTAAAGGACCGTAATCCTTGGGAGCATGTGCGATGTTTCCGGACTCGTAGCGGTACACAGCCTCGGCCTCCGCCATGACAGACCGGTTGGGTGCGATTGCAGGAAGTGAGAACAAAGGCTGGTGCCGCAGGACCTCGAACCAAACAGGGCGCGAAGTCAGTGTCTGGGATGGGGTGTTCAGCACGATGTCATTCAATACTCATTGTGTGCACGAACCAGTCGGGCTTCACCGATGTCGCAAGGCGAACATTGCCATTTCCTGCTCGCCTTAATTGAACTATGGGACAACTCACACGGCACTTCCACTGAAACAGAGCTGCGGTGACAGTACGAGTTCTGCTCTTAAGTACTGGGTTTGTACCTGACTTCTCTGCCCATGTTACCCGTCAATGTGTAGAGGAGGTTTACTGCAACTACGGGCGCAGTCGCCGCCGGGAGTAACGCTGTGTTCAAACCAAGGTTCTGATCTTGGCGGCTCGCCGCTCAATCAGTCCAATGATGAAAGAAACACTTTTGGGAGATTCAACGAGTTGAAGTTCAAAGTGCTCGACCCGAACCGGGCCTGTGTAACCCCACGCAGCAGCTGGTAGAAGACGTGAAAGTTCCGCTCGCCCGGCGCTTGCAGGACCACGCGGGACCTGGCCGCCAATGCAGCTTGTGTTGTCAACTTTTGAATCTAAGCCCGTAGTACAGGGATTTTATAGCAGAGCCGAGTCTAACATGTATATCTGGACCGTGACTCTCTCAGTCGTCGTCTAGACTCAACAAAACCTGCAAGTAGAGGCTCTTGCAAGACAGTCGCATGGATGAGCTTGTAGAAACTATGTGCCACACTTGCAACTAGCAGCCTGTTCTCTGGGCCCAATTCCTCCCCAACCAACCTGGCATGCAATCCCTTCACCGCACCGGGCAAGATTTCTGCCGGCGCACGCACTTGCTCGGCTGGCTCGAGAGGTCGTTCTTCAACCCCGAGCACTGTGCGGCCACGCAGAAGGCAAAGAGCAGGGCATGCTGCAGTTGGGCCGTGACATTGACGGCCACCTACGCATCACGTTGTCCTGCAGTTTTCTGCTCTTCAACTGGACCGCTCGTCCCATGCGAAACTCCAGTTGCATGGACCTCCTTTGGTCCGTGCGGGACATTAACTCCTGCCGTGAACCTGAACCTGAAGACAGGTCCGACGGCTCGTTATCCGGGGCTGCGCAGCAGCCAGTTCTCTTGGCATCCCCTACGCCCGGGCCCTAAGAACATTCGCGACAGCGCCCTCAACGGATCTTGAGTAACCTCAAGCTTATCATTCAAATCTCTAGTTATGTATGACTTGTTTGTTTGCGTTACTGTCCTTGTGATTTCCTCTTTGTATCACCATATAGCAATTGTAACAAAATACTAGCAGCAGCTGCAGCAGCAGCAGCAGCAGCATGAAATTCACGTGCTCTTGCCTCGTGCTGTTCATGCTGTCCAGCAGTGTGACTCTTGCTGCTGTTCTTGACACTAGTTTTTTGGTCTTGCGATTCGCAATCTTACTCTCCGTACTCCTATTGCTCTCATTCCGTGCTTCAAAAGTCTTAGCAGGCGGTGCGCGTAATCCTATCGCCGGTTTGAGTTGCAAGCGGCCGCAGCCCCAAGTCCTACGAGTGGCGTCTCAGACCTGCCAGCCACTGCGACGCGGGCCCGGGCCGATGTTCGGGAAGGGCTCGCCTCGGTTGTGGGACTTAGAAGACCGGATTCCAGGGGCTTGAGGTTCTGGCTGTCTTTCTGGCTTGAGAGGTCCAGGCTTTAAAGCTTCAGGCTTGAGACTTTCGGGTTAAGGGTTCCGAGGCATCTAGTAGTCTGCAAGTGCTGCAGGCTCCAGACAGTCCGACTGCTAAACTGCATAGGCGAGCTGGTGTCCATCGCCATGTGTCATGCGGATAATGGCAGTGTGACTCTTTGCAAGGGGTGGTTGGATGATACTCAAGAGGGAAGAGTGGTCGCGAGCTGCTGGAGTCTGTTAAAATATCCTTTCCTAGTTCTTGCTTTTGCTGCTGCGGGGCCCCCATACAAGACCCCCACACTGCACCTGCCTCGCTCAAGCTGAGAGCCGCACGCTTTGCTTTGCTGATACCTGCGCCCGCCGCTGCCCACTCACGCTAACTACAAGACGCTGGTAGCAGCCACTGAGCCCGGATCAAACTCTCCAATGCTGGGTTTCGTGTCAGCTTACTGCCGATGCGCTGCTTATATACTACGTCCGTGATCCTCTAAGCATCAGGGCACCATTTTCAGGGCACTTGGACCCAAGCACGCAAGGTCCAGCCTTTGGGAAGCTCGTCGTCGTCGTTGGCCATGTCGCTTAGCGTCTCCATCGCAGGCTCGAAGAAGATAAGGTCCTGGGAGTAGATTGGTGGGTCAAGCACATAGAGATAGTGCACAGTGTGTTCATCAATGGGTCAAGAGTTAAGAATCTCGGATTCAGAGTTTAGGGTGACCCTGATACAAGAGAGGAAGGGAACCACAAGATCGCAGACGGTCTTCCCAGCCTCTAGGACCTAGGAAGCTACAAGGGATCGTCCTCGAAAGCTCAAGACAAAGCCCCGCTTCCAGAAGGCTCCGTCCCACGTGCCTCCTGCCGAGAATCGTCCTCCTCCGCCATACTAGAGGCCCGATCGGTGGCATTGGCTCGGAACATGGGCCTCTCAGAAGACTGCAGGTTAAGGAATACAACAACACTGACTTCAGTTCTGTCGAAGCTTGGTTTCCGGGCCTTTGGGTTAACACGGGCTCTTGCTCGTCGCGTTTTTCTCTGTTGTGGTGCGTGCTTGTGTTATGATCATCATCATCATCATCATCATCATCGTCATGAAAATGTTCCTCCCGCCTCTACCCATGCAACATCGACGAAGCGCTTGGTAGGTGCTCGCCAAGGCCGTGCTAAGCATTCAGGCAGCACAGGAGAAAAAAAAAACTAAACTCTTAAATCCCAAATCCCTCAACCCTAAACCGCATCGGAGCCGAGTGTTTACCAAGCGCTTGCTCAGAGCTCGGCGAGCGCTGACAGCTAGCCAGGAAATGAGTAGTTCTATCAATCTGATTCTCGTCTTGTTTAGTTCTAATCGTACTTGTTAGTATTGACTGGTTGCCATTGTGGTTTACTCAATACATATTAATCTTGTTGCTTGTGCTCGTGGGCATAGTTTCGATTGTTGTTCACGTGTCCAACCGGCCGGTATGGTCATTGCTGTTATGGCTATTTTGTTGCTGCTGCCTCTGTCAACTTGGTGTGTGGATGTTTAAGACTCTGTTACGACTGCCACGACCTTGGGATTCTAGGGCGAAGAGGTTTTAGAAACCTTCACGGTCTCCACACGCAGCCTCAAGCCCGAGGCCCTAAACTGTGAAGCCGAAACCCTTCAAACCTACACCGGAAACTCGACACCCTCTAACCCCCCCCCCAAGAAAAGAGCTCAGCTTTGTAAGCCCCCGGCAAGCTGCGGCTCTGAATGAGCTGTGAGTTCGTGATGTCCTCGTTTGCTCTGAGAGCTCGCGAGGCGGCTTGGTATGGACTCGGCGGTTTTTTTCTATGTTTGTACCGAGTGATGAACCATGAAACGAAAGGATGTGTGTGTGTGTGTTTGTAAAGGTATGTCTGTAGTTTCACTTTCTTCTTGCAACGATAGACTTATGTAGTCATGCAGCCACCTAGTCCTAGAAGTATAGACAGAATTGTCATATCCAAACATAGACACAGAGACGGAGGGCAGAGAGAGCTAGAGGCGCAGAGCAAAAGAGATGGAAGGAGAGAGCGAGCGAGAGAGAGACAGAGAGAGCGAGAGCCTGGCGCTTCAGAGATACAACTCCTGTGCTACTGAAGCTGCACTTGATATTTTGGCCGGCGGTACCGCCAGCCACCCGCAGACCAATATCGAAGACAAAAGGTCCAGTTCGAGTCGGAAGAAGACTGTAGCTTTTTGCAACAGTTTTTTTTGCGGCAGCTATATATATATATATACACACACACCCGCACGAGTTTTGGAATTCTGCTAGTAATAATTACTTGCCAACAATGACTCTTGTAAGAGCCCCAGTTTTGCAAGTTGAAAGATTCGGATGGGAGGATATCCCGGAGAGTGCATGAGCATTGGGTTTGCTGAATGTTGGTGGACCAGAATACCATTAACACAATGTGCCGAGTGCTTGCTCTTTTCAAAGCTGAGGTCTCGACGATGTCCAGGTCCACCTCCAGCTGGGCGTCTTCGCTCAACTTCACCAGGCCCTGTGCCTCCAAAAGAACCAGAGGGACCCTCTGCGGCAGAGGGCTCATGCTCTCAAAGGGGGTCTTGCGCAAGAGTTACGGGAACGGATGTGGGTGCGACCTGTGAGGGGAGTCAGTGGGAGCGGTGCTCATCACTCTGGCCATTCGGCCTCCAGCTCGGCAAGCTTCTCAACAGCTTTGGCAAGTGTGTCCTTGCGCTTCTGAGATTGCAGTGCAGTCTTGGGCATGCACGGGTTCAGATGGTGTCTTGTCACTAGAAGCTCATAGCTTCCCAAACCTAAGAAACTACTATCTACAGCACTGTCAGTTTTCCATTGATCATGACTGCTTTGGTTGTTACTCGCTAGCATCACCAGCACAGGCTGGTTCTTCCTAAATGATCCTGAACACCAAAGACCCTCAACCCTAAATTCCTAGAGTCAGAACCCCAAAGCTCTCAAAGCCCTAAAAGCCTAAACCCTTGAACCCCTCGACGTCTGCTTACAGATTTCTTCCATTGGGGGGATGCGAAACCCAAAGCCCTACAGCTGAAAGCCCCAAATCCCACAAGTTATACGGAACCCTATAGCAACACCTAAAGTATCTTAAAGTACTCCTGATAGGCCCCCTTATCGCACCCCTCGTCAAAGTACCCCTCATGGTTTCCCTTCATAGGAATGGTGACCGCCTTATAGTATCCCTCCTGGTGCCGGCATAGCAACCCCCTTTTTGCAATCCTCACAGTATCCCTCATACAAGTAGTAACCTTTCATAGTACTGTTGATGGTATCAAACCTGCATTACCTTCAGGCCCCTAAACTATGGGAATTATGGTATATTCTTTGTTCTGGGTTATTTCAGGATTTATAATACCATCACCCTAAACCCTAAGCCCTAAGCCCTAAACCCTAAAGCCTCAACCCTGAACCCTAAATCATCAACCCTATCCCTGCGTCACTGAAGGCTCCCCCAAAGACTCGGCGACTTTTTGGGACCTCCGGGCTCCCGGGCAAGTCTCACGGCCAGGCGGCGTTCCGTCAGATCCAAGCTGGACCCTAGGTCTTAGGGGCTTTAGGGGTTTAGGG